GCATTTCAGTTATTTACATAATTCACGTTATTTACAGTAGCCAAGCTATGAGAACACCCCAAGCGTCCTTCGATAGATGAATGAATGAAGAATATGTGGTATATACATACAATGGAATATTATTCAGCCATAAAAAGAATGAACTCTTGCCATGTGCAACAACATGGATGAAACTAGAGGGTATTATGCTAAGTACAGTAAGTCTGAGAAAGACAAACACTGTATGATTTCACTTCTGTCTGGAATCTAGAAAACAAAAAAACCCAGACCCTTAACTACAGAGAACAAACTGGTGATTGCCAGAGGGGAGGTGGGGGGGTGGGGAATGGAAAAATAGATAAAGGGGAAAAAGTCACAGGTAACCAGATAACTTGCACTGGTTTTAACTTGGCATAATAAAATTGGACAGAGCATATTTAATTAAAAGTGAATTTTTCTCAAATTTGAAATCCTAAGAAATGCAGTGAGTAAGGTTGGTGGCATGCTCAGCAGTGGGGTCTACTGCCGACTGACCACCTCAGGAACATTTCAGGAACGTGAATGGCGAGCCGTTCACTACTCTGTGAATATACTAAAACCACTGAGCTGTACACTGTAAAAGGGTAGGACTCTATGGTGTGTGAGTTATATCTTAACAAAGCTGTTAATAAAAAAACCAAAAGGAGGGGTTATTGGCACATTTTGACGTTGACCCTTGAAACTTTGTGTTTCAGATTCCTTTTGCAAGATACGTGGCAAGAAATAATATATTGAATTTGAAACGGTACGAAACTCTGGGGGCTTTATTTGGTGGATGTGGGAGAGAAACCAAAGAAGGATGTTGTATCATCTGTGATCCTCCTTAAACAGCAACGAATTTGGGGTTTGAATTTTGGGTTTAAAGTAGTGAGTTTGGAATATGGTCCCAGTGCTCAGCCACAGTACCCCTTTGCGGGGTGACAAAGACGCTTAGCCTTCCCTTTAGCGGATCATGTAGCTGTTGCAGGGTAGGTACCCTGAAGCTCCTGCCGCCTATTCTCTGCCTTCTAACGTTCCCAAGCAACAGAACTAATTATTTTCACAAATGGTTGCTTGACAAAAACATATGGCAGTTCTTGATCCCACATGGCCCCTTTTAAAAACTTAATTGGAGGGACAAATGGCCAGCGGTCTCTGTGTGAAACCTGCCTCCACAGGTAACTGAACAAAAGCTGTTTGTAGAGAAATGGAGTAAACCCAGCAGGTGTGCCGAATGCTCCGGGCCTCAGGGCACTTAGCAGTGGAGAAGGGTTTTCTGTACATTCAGATTCCGCAGAGGGCGAGCAGCGAGATCTTCTAAATTGGAGCAGTATTGTTGCCAACGAGGCACCCTACTTTAAAGCCTTTCTTCACACGAAGTCAGAGCTCTTTGTGTGCTTTTATTCTCAGCTGCATGTGAACAATTAATTAATAGTCATGGTCCTTAGGTGTATCCCTGTGTAGAGAGCAAGTACTAAAGGTAAAATTATTTCTTGTGAGCAATTTTATCTCTATTTCAGACATGAAAAAAAAACGAAGCCCCATAGTTTAATAGTGGCCCCCCTAGGAATTGGCACCTAAATCTGTCTTTAAGGTCTCTTGCTTATACCGCTGATTAATTTTCTCCTGTTTCTTTTCTCTTGTTCAACGATCTCTTGCATGTATATGATTCCAGTAAGCAGTGACCTGGGTTTCTGGGTTTCTCTCTCCAGATACTGCATAGAGCGCGTGTTCAGACCTCGCAAGTTAGACCGATTTCATCCCAAAGAGCTTCTGGAATGTGCATTCGATATTGTCACGTCTACCACCAATAGCTCTCTGCCCACTGCCGAAGTCATCTACACGATCTGTGAGATCATCCAGGAGTTCCCGGCACTTCAGGTTACTTTCCTGGGTCTGATGTCCCGAGGTCACCCCGCTCGAGTCCTTGACCCAGGGGTGGGCGGTGGGGGGGGGGCATGCTTACAACAGAACTGCCCCTCACTTGGTGCCGGCAGTGGGCCACATTTTACTAGGATAACGGAGAAGAGTTGGATGAGGTTACTTGTGGGTTTCTCTCAGGCTCTCACCCTTGCCTTGACAGGAGTGGGTTTTGTCTTCATCTATTTTGGGGGAAGGGTGTTGTTGCTCTGCCCATTCTTCCACAGCGCGAGAAATGAGCTCAGATTCCTAGGATGCTTTTAGCACGGTCACCCTGCTCCGCACCCTCTCTGGTCCCCTCCTGCGCTCCGCCCTGGCTCTCAGCTCCCCAGCTTCACTTGGCGTCAAGCCGGCGTCCCGCCTCGCCGGTGGAGACTGCTTCTGGTACAACTGCTGGCTCTCCTCAGGCCTTGCCTCTGGGTCCCACACACGGGGCCGCCCCCCGCTCCCCGCTCCCCGCTCCCCAACTGCTGTGCCTGTCATGGCATTCCTTGTCTAGAAGGACCGCCTTCCCAGCCGTGGTGGGCGCCCCTTCTGTCCCGGGAGCCTGCCTGCGCCCTCATCGGTTGCCCGGCCTCCTTTCCTTCCCCACCCTCCCTGCCCTCGAGGGGAGAGGCCACCTGCTCCTCGAGGGCAGAGCTGAGGCGGCCCCTTTTTCTGTAGAGCCCGCTGGCCCCCGCTCAGCTCACCGCTCGCTACTCTGTGAGCGCTCGCCCGTTACCACGGTTGCTCCCCAGCCTGTCCTTGAACGGCAGTGACTACTCACCCCTGTCCTCTCCCTTGCTGAAGTCTGTGTGGACTCATTCAGGCTTTTCACCAGAGCTGGGGACCGAAGTGGTTTAGATACGTATGATGAAGGGTTTGATTATATTATACTCTTTGATTATGACAGTGTAAAAGGCATGCATATGAGAAAATAAACTAGGAGGCAATATGCCAAAATTCAGTCCTTCCACAGTCCGCCGCCTGGGGATGGTAAGTTGGTGACAAGCTGCTGGCTTTGGTCAGGTACCTGTACTGCTTTTATGGTGAAACTAATAATTTTTCTTTTCGTATCCTAGGAAAGAAATTACAGTATCTCCTTGAACCATACCATGTTATTGAAAGCAATCCTCCTACACTGTGGGATCCCAGAAGAGAAACTCAGTCAAGTCTATGTTATTCTGTACGATGCTGTGGTAAGCATTTAATTCCTTCGACTTGATATTGAAGGATGATAATAGTTCATAACTTTTTTTTTCCATAACTATTTTCTTAGTGATGGGACCATAGAACTGAATGGGGAGTTTTAGCTCCTTCCCTCATTTCTCTAAAGTAAAAAACAAAAAACACAGTTGGAGGGAGTGATTGTATTGAGAATAAAGGACTTATGCCCTCTCCTTAATTCTTCCAACCCACCTGTACTTATCAGTAAAGTCATTTATAGATGTGGTCATTGGGATTTTTGGTTGACTTGGGGGAGAGTGGTTTAGCCCTCGGCTGGAGCCTTAGCACCTGCTTCCTGTGGGGCTGGTGCAGTACCCCCTCCAGTTACTCTTCCCAGTTGAGCCAGATCGTGGTACTCACTGCTCTCCAGTATGTGTGCAGGTACTCTGTGGTACGTAGGCAGGGCCTGGAAGGGAGTCGCTGAAAACTGTATTGTATTGTATTTTTTTTTTAATTTATTATTTATTTATTTATTTATTTATTTATTTATTTGACAGAGAGAGACACAGCAAGAGAAGGAACACAAGCAGGGGGAGTGGGAAAGGGAGAAGCAGGCTTCCTGCTGAGCAGGGAGCCCGATGTAGGGCTCGATCCCAGGATCCTGAGATCATGACCTGAGCCAAAGGCAGACGCTTAACCGACTGAGCCACCCGGGCGCCTCAGGCTGTTTCCTAGATACCAAAAGCCTAAGTCGCTTCTCTCTCATCTGGCAGGTACACATCAGGGGTCCTAGTTTTACTGTCTGTCCCCGCCTCCTGCAGTGCAGCTGCCATTGGCAGTAGCGGACACAGTGTGTCCATCGGACGCTGGCGAGGACCCCAGGGATTGTGCAAGGGGGCTACACGCCATCCTTGTTCATATCCCACAGCCACAGGCTAACTGCCTGTCAGCACACGGCTTTTGCTAGAGGGACATGGATCCATTACTCCCTTGTCATCCAGACAGAAACCCCCTGGTTTGGCCTGCCCAGCTCTGGGTTGCCTCATCATTCAGCAAAGTTAATTCTTTTATGTCAGGAGTTTTCATATTTTAAGACACATATTAGGGGCGCCTGGCTAGCTCAGTAGAGCATGCAACTCTTGATCTCGGGGTTGTGGGTTCGAGCCCCACATTGGGTGTAGAAATTACTTAAAAATCTTAAAAAAAAAAAAAAGACAAATGTTAATTTTATGTGAATTGGAAAAAGAATTAATCCATCCTTCATGATTAGGAGCAGTTTGTCCAAAATGGAGGGTATATACTTGTCGGAATGTGCCTGGAGAGCATATCTTTATGTTCGGGGCCAAATCTGGTGACTCTCATTGTTCCCTTTCTCTCCCACGTTAGACAGAAAAGCTGACGAGGAGAGAAGTGGAAGCCAAGTTTTGTAATCTGTCTTTGTCATCTAACAGTGTAAGTACCCAGTGATGGAGCTCTTACAGCTTTCTCCGTAACTTACGGTACCCCGATTCTCAAGGCAGTGAGGCAGGGCTGGGCTGTTCGCTGGCGCCTCACAGACAGGTTTCCCTTAAGTGTTCATAGGTTCCATGGCAACCTTGGGGACTAGGGGAAGAGAGCCCAGCGCTGGGCTCAAAGCCTGCCTCTCCACGTTGCTGTTCACCGTGGGGTCATCATCCTGTTCTTTCTGGATCACCAGCTGCTTTGCTCTCCCGCCCTGTGCGGGGCCGTGCTCGGCAGAGCCTCCTGCTGAGCGAGCGGGTCTAGTATTGGTTGTCCTCTTCTGGAATAGATCCTAGGGGACTGGAATGAGGCACAGAGCTCTGCACATCCATCTGGGTTTCCCCCACCACCCTACCCCCTGATCTTCCAACACATCAGAGTTGAATTAAAGCTCCTGCTTTTCTGGTACATTTCTTACCCCTAAGATCTAACATTTGATCCCAGTGGCAATGAGGACTATCTCATGGGGTAAGCAGGTTTGTCCTGTTCTCTCAGCAGGCATCAGATTGGTCTCTAATCTTTGGCACAGTAACCCATACTTCATGGAGTCACTGGATAGCTGAAGACAATGGGGATTTCTGACATTTTCCTAAATATTTAAATAAGAAGAGATACTTCTTTAAAACTTCCCCAGAAGCCCTCAGCCCTGGTGGGGCACTCAATGACATGATCCTATGATGATCAGCAAATTCATGTATAGGATAGATTCAAAGATGACTGTACACAGGCCAGGCAGAAATGGTCATTCTTTTGACCTACACACCTACAGTATGGCGGACATAGTGCTAGGCATAAAGGAGTCAGCTGAAGACTCCACAGGCTGCCCTCAACTTAATTCATATTGGCCTTTTAAAAACCCATGGGGGGCTCCATGCAGCATCTGTCTACCCTCGGCTCTCTAACCAAACTTGCACACACAGACTGCAGCTCATAGCAGTCAGCATGCAGTTAGTTAGGGAGAGTCAACCAGATTACACAGCCTAGGAGTTCGAGAAATTAAGCCAGGTTAAATTTTAGATGTTACATAGAGGAGGAGATATTAATGGCACACAAAGTGACCAGTGATAAAATATTTTAATATGAAGCACAGTATTTACAGAGTTCTCTAGACAAGTACACAGCACATACCTATGAGCAGAAATAGTTCCATATATAAATAGCATGAAGAATCTGCTCAAGAAACTGCCCAGTCTGGTGATTCCTTACCTGAAGGCTCAAGCCCAAAAGTTCCTTTGAACTAATGTCACAATTCAAACATATTTCACACTTGCACACGATAGCTGCCTCAGTTGCTAAAATGCCAACTTCTTTTTGTTAAATCTCTGGTTATCTGATGATGAGCATCAGTTCAAAGTTGTATGTTTGATTAGCTTAAAAATGGAAAAATTAGCACCTAATAAAGACATTTGGTGCTGTCATCATTTAAAAATGGAACTCTGAAGATACTAGAAAAGGAAGTAGAAATAGTGCAAGCCAGTGTCTGGCCCAGTGTTCTGATTTTACAGATGAGGCACCTCCGGCCCAGAGATGCTATGACTTGTCCAAAGTCACATGGAGTTTATTGATGATGGGGTGAAGATGCTTATCTGGAGATAGCGACTCTAGTGCTTCTGGTAGTTTATTAATGGGGTAATTTAATGTTAAAATTTGAGAAGAAATAGTTTTTTATTTTAAGAAAAACATTTAGTATAGTAAGGGAATTGAGATTATATTACTTTTTGGATTTAAAAAAATACATGTGGTGTATGATTCTTATATTAAACTGAATTAAGCTGAGTTTTCATTCATCTCTGTTTCCATGTGCCAATTTATCGTTGAACCAGGTCATGCTTATGTAGTCTTAAAATAGCTATAATTCTGTTTAACTCGCAGGAGCTCAAGTGGAAATTTCTTTCTGGTTTAGACCGTAGTTCCTGCTTCCCCTGCTGTGGGCCAGGGACTGGGCCTGGCCCACAGATCATCTCTAGCCATTGCCCTCGTGTGGAAGACGATGGGTACAGCGGCTGGGAGCTGGGATGGAGGGGTGAGCCAGAGGGAGGGAAGGATCAGGGGGCTGTCTGTGGGAGGTGACACCCGAGTGGCACCCCAAGGCTCCACACAGGAATGATTCAAGCAAAGGGAGCAGAGGGAATTTCTGGCTACTTCAGAGGAGAATTAGAACCAGTCAGACTTTGCCTTCCTGTGTGTCCCCCCACCGCCCTCCCCGTTTCTGTGCCTGCAGGAACGGGAGTTGATGAGAATGAGGAAGGTAAAAAAGAACAATCCTGGCTTGGAAGTCTTGTCATGGTGGCTCAGCTAGTACAAGGGACTGCTCTGCTGGGGGCAAGCGTTCACTGGGAGTAGGTGCCCAGAGCACTCCTGTGAGGTGCTTTTGAGCTGCTGGAAAAGGGTAATTCGTAGTCAGGTTCCCAGTAAAGGTTGAAATGGCCTCTGACCACAAAATCCCTGCTCCTGGCGGGAGCACAAGCTCCGCTCTGTCCCCCGTGTGTCCGAACACCATGTGGAGTGCGTCTTCCCTGCCGTGGGTCGGAAGCTAAATGTGCCCCTTTGCTTCCCAGCTGTGTCGACTCTACAAATTCATCGAGCAGAAGGGAGATTTGCAAGATCTAACACCAGCAATAAATTCGTTAATAAAACAGAAAACAGGCATCGCCCAACTGGTGAAGTACGGCTTAAAAGACCTGGAGGAGATTGTCGGGCTGTTGAAGAAACTCGGCATCAAGTTACAGGTTGGGCCACCGCTGGATTCCTGTGGTGCCAGCACAGGGCAAAATGGGGTTTTTGAGTTAATGCTAGGATGCATTTTCTCCCCCCCAGAACTCTGCTTTCCCCATTTGGCAACTTCTGATTTCTAGTAATAATTTTGGCTTCAATCAGAATGTCCTTGCAAGCATCACAATTCCTATCGTATGGCAAGTCTGACGATGTCAATTAGCCTCAGCCAAGTGCTGATTCCTGAAGAGAGCAGAGTCTTCACCTGGCAGGCTGTACTTAGACATATTCCTGATTGCTCTGACGCTACCCATGGAAAACCACGCCCTTGACTTGTCTGCGTGGGCTTGTACTTCACAGGTCTCAATCAATTTGGGCTTGGTTTACAAGGTGCAACAGCACAACGGAGTCATCTTCCAATTTGTGGCGGTCATCAGACGGAGGCAGAGGGCTGTATCGGAAATCCTTGCCGCCGGCGGCAGATACGACCTGCTGGTGAGGGCTCACCCCGGATTTGTTGGTTGATAGAGTCTGGCTTAATTTCCTTTTTTTTCTCAGGTGGTGTTTTGAAATATTCCACACCTTCAGAAAAATTGAAGCAGTGGTATAACTGAACACCTGCATGCTTTTTAGCTAGGAATAGAAAAGTACTGTGAACCACATTTGTAGTGTTTGTGACTTTTTATTTTAAAATAATTACAGGTTTACAGGAAGTTGCAAAGATAGTACAGAGAGATCTTGCGTACCTTTTGTTCCATTTTCTTGAATGGTTAAATCTGGCAGAACTAGAATAAAATAATCAAAACCAGGACACGGACGTTGGTACACTGTATGTGTATAACTCTGTGCCATTGTTACTGCATGTGTGGGGTCTCGTCACCACCACCACAACCGAGATACAGAGCTCCTCTGTCACCATGAAGATCCGTGGGTGCTGACGTTTACTAGTTCAAGTGAAGTATGGAACCTTTACCTCCCTGGAGGTCCCTATACCCTTCCTGCCATTTATAATATAATTGTCTTAAATATTTCCTCTCCATACATTGAGGTCCACATCAGACAGTGTTAGGCTTTTGCTTCAACTGTCAAATGCTGAGAAACTCAAGAGGAGAAGAAAGTCTGTTGTACTTGACCCAAATTTCTGGTTTCTGATGAGAAATGGGCTGTTGTTTGAGTTTTCCCCTCTAGGAAAGTTGATTTTCACTCAGTGCTTTTAAGATTTTTTTTCTTTGGGGCGCCTGGGTGGCTCAGATGGTTAAGCGTCTGCCTTCGGCTCAGGTCATGATCCCAGGGTCTTGGGATCGAGTCCCGCATCGGGCTCCCTGCTCCTTGGGAGCCTGCTTCTCCCTCTGCCTCTCTCTCTCTCTCTCTCTGTCTCTCATGAATAAATAAATAAAATCTTTAAAAAAAAAAAAAAAGATTTTTTTTCTTTGTCTTTAGTTTGAAATTTGATCATGACGTGTCTTGGCATGACTTTCTTTGGATTTATATACTCTTTGGGATTATCTCAGCTTCTTGAATCTAGAGCTTTATGTCCTTTTCCAGTGTGGGCCCCCCACCAAGCCCCCCAGCAGGGTGGCATCAGAGAAGACTAAATGGGAGCTAAGATTTTTATATGTGCCTGGGGTAGTGCCCCCCACCCCCAAACAGTGTCAGTGGGTGAATGAAAGGATTACAGACCCTCACCTGCACCCAAGCAGTAATGAGGCCACCCTCCCCACAGTACCAGTAAAGGCATGTTTTGGGCATATTCTTCTAATATCTCTTACGTCTTACCCTCTTTTTGCTCTCCTTCTAGGACTCTGATGACAAATGTTCAAGTTTTTGTTATATCCCTGAGGTTCTGGGGCCTTCGGCTTTACAGTCTGTTTTCTCTCTTCTTCAGATTGAATAGTTTCTATTGTTTCATCTTCATTTTCATTGATTATTTCTACCGTTTTCCCCATTCTGCTGTTGAGCCCATCCAGAGGTTTTTTTATCTCCTACTTCTCTGCTGAGACTTTCTATTCTTTTTTTGTCTCAAGCCTGTTCATCATGCTTGTCGAAGCATTTTCATGGTGGTTGCTTTAAAATCCTTGTCAGATATTTCCAACATCTATGTCATCCTGTTTTTGGTGTCTGTCTGTCTTTTACACATTTTGAGATCTTCTTGGTTCTTGCCATGATGTGTGATTTTCACTTGTACCCTGGATATTTTAAGTATTATGAGACTCTGGAGCTTAGCTAGATCTTTAGGTTTAGCAGGCCTCCCCGAGAGCACAAGTAGGGGCAGGAGGTGCCACTTTGCTACTGTTGGTCGAGGGTAAAGATTCAGGTTCATTACTCTGCTTGCTTCAACATCCCTAGGCTGGGAGGGGTGCCCTGTTCCTGTTCCCACATGCCTCTACTGGTACTAATGGTGAGGGTGGGTGAAGTGGCAGGAGACTGCTGGAGAGCAGGGAAAGTTCCAGCCTCCTACTCAGCCACCTTGGGCACCACCCCCACGGGGAGGGTGGCCTCGTTACTGCTTGGGTAGACGTGAGGGTCTGTAATCTTTAGGTTCCTGACACTATTTGGAGGGTAGGGAGCACTACCCCAGGCAGATAAAAAAGTCCTGGCTCCCATTTAGTCTTCTCTGATGCTACCCAGCTGGGGCTTGGTGAGAGAGGGGGGGCCCCCACTCAGCCTTTGCTGGTGGGGGCGGGCCTTTTCCTATGGTGTTTGGCTGGAGGAGGGCAGGGGTTATTATAAACATTTTCGGCCCTGCCGGGTTGCCCCTTTCTTGGTGTTCTGGCTAGAGAGAGCGGGCTTCCTGGGGACCTTCTGTTGGTTCTCCTTGGCATTTCTGGGTTGTCAGCATGTGTTACCCTCAGATCCCACAGTTCCCGTGCCCGTGTGCTGCCTTTTCTTCACTTCATAGTCTTCTTATATTTGTTTTATAAGTAATGTCCAGGATTTTTAGCTCTACTTAGCAGGAGGAATAGAGAGAAGTGTTCCTGTCTTGGTCCAGAATCAAGAACCTACCTATGTAATTTTAAATTATCTAGGGACATAAAGCAAATAAAAAGAAACGGGTGGAATTTATTTTAATAATATTTTATTTGACCCAAATATCCACAATGTTGTTTCAACATACAGTCCAAATTTTCGGGAAAAATTTTTTTTAAGATTTTATTTTTTTATTTGTCAAAGAGAGAGAGAGCATGAGCCCGGGGAGTGGCAGGCAGAGGGAGAAGCAGGCTTCCCACTGAGCAGGGAGCCCGATGCGGGACGCGATCCCAGGACCCTGGGATCATGACCTGAGCCAAAGGTAGATGCTTAACCGCTTGAGCCACCCGAGCGCCCCAAAATTTTCAAAATTTGTGAGCTATTTTACATTTTTTTCTAAGCTTTTGCAAATCAGTGTATACTTAACCCAATATACCCCAAATACTATTTTGGTATGTAATCAGACATCTCAATATGATTAATGAGCTGTTTTATATCCTCTTTTTCTCCCCCCATTCTGCGTCTTTGCAGCGTCTGTGTACTTTACATACGTTTAGAGTAGTCCTGTTGCAGATGCTGAAGCCCACGTGTGGCTAGGCGGCCACCGTGTTCCACGGCGCGTCTCCAGGCGCAGCACTTGTTACCTTTCCCCCCGTTGGCACGGGTGCATGCTCCCACCTCGCCCTCCCCTGAGCACCCCCACCACACACATACTTCCTGTTTGGTTGAACCCTTTGATGAGAAGTTGCTGACAAGTGTGTGTCCTCCAGTCATTGCTTTGCTTATGACTACAGTTTCTGCTCTTTTGTAACCAAAGCTGTGCCTTTCTTCCCAGATTCCCCAATTTAGAGGACCCCAGGCTCTGGGACCAGTCCCCACTGCTGTTGGGGTCAGCATAGCTATAGACAAGATATCTGCGGCGATCCTCAACATGGAAGAGCCTGTAAGTTCCAGTTTTGTTTGCCTTCCAGCTTTCCAGTGGGCTCTGAGCAGTCTTTCATTTCATAGTCCTTTATATGGAGCTCTGGATGTGGCAATAGACCGAGGCTTTGGGAGGTCATCTTTGCCATGATAGACAAGCCTAGGACTTGGCATCCGTCCTCACGTATAAGCCCTTAGCCTCTCTCAGGGGCACCTCAGACAGCTCATCCGTCTTTGCCTGGGCTCACTCTCCTCGTGTCTGATGCACTCTGTAAATGTGATGCAGAGATGCTGGCAGACGCCCGTCAAAGCCCCTTGTTCAGAAATCCTGCTGCACTCTAAGAGCTATAAATGGTTCTTTTTCCTTTTTGTTTCAGACAAGATTAGTTTTCCCAGAGGAAAAGAATATCTTCTTGACGGCTTAGGATATCTGAAATAATTTTCTAAAAAGACTAATATAAAAGGTTTTTGACTTTTGTTTTTTTAAAGATTTTATTTATTTGACAGAGGGAGACACAGCGAGAGAGGGAACACAAGCAGGGGGAGTAGGAGAGGGAGAAGCAGGCCTCCCGCTGAGCAGGGAGCTCGATGTGGGGCTTGATCCCAGCACCCTGGGATCATGACCTGAGCCGAAGGCAGACGCCCCTTGACTTTTTTTTTTTTAATTTATTTATTATTATGTCATTGTGAAGCCCA